GGCACGTTCTCTCCCAAGGACACTTCCTTCCACAGGAAATACAACCCAACTAATTGGCTCCACCCATTTGGCAAAACTTAGGTTGGTGCCAACATAAAGTTCCTCAGCACAACCCTAAAGAAGGGGTGTAGAAGAAGATGCATACCTGCCTTAGGTATTCACTGATTGGCACACATATCGGCCCAGATAACTAAATTAGATCCCAAATTCTTAAAATGTATTTTTCTAGGTTACTCTCATCTACAAAAGAGTTATCGATGCTGCTGTCCGAATCTTAACAAGTACCTCGTGTCAGCTAATGTTACCTTTATGAAACATATTCCTTTCTTTCCCACAACTTGTACTTCTTTTAGTAAAGGGGAGAATGATGATTTGTTAGTTTATCATACCACTTACCAATTAACTGATGTTACTCCTACACATGTTGCTCCCATACCACCTCCACCTATTTGTCAAGTGTATTCCAAACGATGAAACCCTCCTAATGTATATTTGGTACCTAACCCTTCTTCGACATCGGATCCAATGTCCAATGATCTTGATCTACTTTTCGCTCTCTGTAAATGTAAACATAAATGTACATATCATATTTCATCCTTTGTTTTTTATGAACACTTGTCATCTTCTTCTTGCTCTTTTGCTGTCTCTATAGGCTTTGTGACTCTTCCAAAAATTGTTCATGAAGCCTTATCTCAAACTGGTTCGTATGATGCTATTGTAGAGGAGATTAACACTTTAAATGCTAACGGTACTTGGGATTTAGTAAATTTACCTGCAGGAAAAAAAGGCTATTGGATGTAAGTGGGTGTTTGCAGTCAAAGTCAATCCTAATGGATCAGTGGCTAGACTTAAAGCTCGTCTTGTAGCTAAAGGCTATGCCCAAACTTATAGTGTGGATTACTTGGACACTTTCTGTCCTGTAGCTAAATTAACGTTTGTTCGATTGTTCATTTCTATGGCAGCCACACATAATTGGCCCTTACATCAACTAGACATAGAAAACGCTTTCTTACACGGTGATCTCCAGTAAGAAGTTTATATAGAGCAACCACCAGGGTTTGTTGCTTAGGAGAAGTGTGAAAAAGTGTGTTATTTTCGAAGGTCCTTATATGGTTTGAAATAGAGTCCACGAACGTGATTTGGAAAATTCAGTTAGGCAGTGGAAAGATTTCAAAATTCAGTATATGAATTTCAACTATAAAATTCTTTCTTTATTTTCAATGCTTCAACATGGAAATGGCTCTAATGCCACTTGTTGAAATTTTATGAAACTTTTAATCTTAATAATATGAAAACCTAATTACTTTATTACCAAAATCCTCCATATCAAATTACCAACAGAATTATAAAGTATGGAACATACCTTAATTCATTGAGAATGTTTCTTTAATATTGGATCTTAATATCAGATCTTGAATCTTGAATACTAACTCTTTCGAATTCTGAGTTCTTGATCTTAATTTTAGCTTCCTGCTCCATAGTCTTGATTCTTGAATTTTTTATCTTGATTCTTGATTGTGGATTGTCTGTTCTTTATTGTTGGTTTTTGAATCTTCATCTTCAATATGCTTTATCTTATATTCTTGTATTGACAGAATGACACAAAGAATGAAAAGTTGTATATAAATTGGGGAATATAATCCTAAAGGAATCTGATCTTTACACACATAATCTGATCTACACTTTATTTAAATGCCCAAAACCTGATAACTTAAATTTCTTATTAGATTACTTTAATTTTGGGCTTAAATTTAAGATAGCATGTATACTTAATTAATTGCATATGTCGAACCACATGGCAAATTAAATATTTTCCCAATATAAAATTCTTCGAGTGGCTCATGAAAAGGGAGTCAACTCAACAAACATGACATGGTATTTCTTATTTTCCCTTCTTTCTGCTCAACAAACATGACATGGTATTTTCTTATTTTCCCTTCTTTTTGCCCAAATAAGCAGGAGCACCCCTATTGTATTTTAAAAAGTAATATTTCCGTACTGTCACATCATAAAAGCTGCAATTGGATTTCTCTCCTAAACAACTGTTGCATTTTTTTTTTTATCACAAATGTACGATATTGAACAAGTAATATAATGGACCTTTAAGTTCATATTTTCATTCCCACGAGAACTATATTTTAGCGTTTAATCTAATATTTTTCTAATTACTATTCTGTAAAGCAAAAAAAGATTTGTGTTGTGATTTTTAACCTAATTACTTAAACTAATATGAATACACACAAAGATTTATTTCGAATTTAACTAATGAACATATATTAGGGAAGAACAATTTCACCTATTGATCACTTTTAAGTCTTAAATCAAGATTCAAAATCTAATGTAGTGTTCAATCGAATTCTTCTATTGTATTCAATTTACTCTCCTCGAGTTCTCATTGAATCTATTTAACTAATTTAATCACATATCTCCATACGAATAAACTTTACTTAAACTAAACATTGGTTCTTAGAATTCATACATGATCGCAATAATCAATATAGATATATTTACACATTATACCAATTTACTGGATTTTACTATATGGTCTAATTTCTTAACTCACCTCTCAATTCGTAAAAGATTCACAAATTCATCAAATCAGTGATCAAGTAATTCAATGCATTAAACTCGTAGCAAAATCAATACATGAAAGATAAAGGAACAAGAATCTTGAATAAAAGACATAAGGGTCTCAAGTAGGTTATATTGTTCACCGTAATATTAAATATAGTTACTCATAATAATTGAAGAAAAATACAAAGTTGTTATTGAATACATCACCAAATTTCTTTGCACAAATATGTAGAAAAAGAAATTAATCTTGTGCCAAGATTTTCTTCCTCTTCCAATCAATGCTTTAAACTTAAATTTCTTGATGCTTTTCTTCCTTGAATTGCACTTTTCAATAACTAGTTGTATATTTTGCCTCTCAATGTGTGAAATCCTCTAAAAAATGTCAAAACTTTTATTTATAGTTGCCTCCCACGTTGGTATTGAATATAAGGTTTTTACAGACTTTAAAACGGGCCAAGTTGTGCCCTAAATACAATGTGCCTAGATTGCTATGCCACAGCGCCATGTCTTTTGCCTAGGTGGTGCTGCAGTGGCACCACCTCTTGTGTGTCGCTGGGGGATCTCATCAATCGCAATTGCAATGTCCAAAATGTTAATTAAAGTTTTTGATAAGGATTAAAATCTAAGTCAAAATAAACAGTTAATTTTAACCATATATTTTATAAATTTAATAATTATTCAATCACACATTTCATTAACTTTCATTGAAATCTATTAAAGAATCTAATTTTATCTTTGCCAAATAGGCGCTAAATGTCTGATGTAGTAAATCTAGAGGCATTTAAGTTTTGAAAGCAAGCCTTTGGGACATACAATAGCACTTGAAGACCATTCGTGCCTCTTTTTACGATCAAGTCAGAATGGCAATAATGAATCTCTCTAGGATGTGAAAAGTCTCGAATCACGATGATGTGGATTCTGATTCTTTTAAGGAATAAACTTTAAGTACGTACACTAGTTTTACCATTTTCAAACAATCAACAATTTCTCATCAATTACTACAGTTAGAAATATTTTTGATATATTCTCACAAAAATACATAAATTAGATTTAGTTCACAACACTAGGACCATTGTACTTTGAATTTCAATCGTGACATTATGTTGTAACCTATTTGTTGCTACTCCCTTCCAGTATCACATTACACATTACAGTTGTTACAACGCATAATATTACTATATACACACTTTTACAAAACAATAGTAATAAACACATTAAAAAAGTTCACTACGAATAAAATTCAGCTAACAATCAAGTTGAAATTAGAATAAAACTCGTGACTAAAACACACTATTCAAAAATGCAACTTCTTGCAAAAAAAAACTATTAAAAATAATAAAATGGAATCATGTGGTGAATACAAGTGTGTAATTCAATAAATTGAGTTTAATGACGCTGAATAACCACAACTCAGTTACGGCTGCAACTGGAAACACTTTGGCCGAGAGACAAGAGGCAGGCAGAGAGTTAGCCCCGGGTGGGGCGCACGAAAGCTTGCCTGACTCATAAAATTCTCAATATACTCGTGAGAATCGCTTCTCGAGGGAGATTGTGTGATATCAACAACTCACGATGCATGATGTTGTCCACTTGGACGAGGACATTGAAGAGGTTAAAGAAATCAATCCTGAATCTTCATCTTCACCATTATCTCCACGGTCGGCTACAGAGATCTCCTTATGCAGAAGCCTAGCGTCACAAAGGAAATGCAGCGAGAAACAATGGATGATTCAAAGAGGCTTTGATTCTTATTTTTACATTAAAAGGTTTTTGTAACATTAGCTCCCTCACTTCCACCTTTTAGTTAAGACGGTTACAAGATTGTGAAAATGTAACAGGTTATGAGTATTTAAAACTATTCTTGTTAAATTTATTAATTGTTGGCATTTGAAATCAAGTTTGTTTGAATTGGTCTGTCGTCAAGCTTTCTTTTAAACCATTGATGATATGGATTGTAGGCAACAAATTTCAACTACTTCATGTGCACTGAACAGATAATACACAACACATTCATCATCTCTTCCAAACAATTTCAACTAGTTTTGCAGTGCAACTAATTTTTTTTTATTATTATTGTTATTTTTTTACATTCAGTAAGATTTAAATTCAGAGTTTATTACCTTGGCGATCTTACTACTACAAATCATGGCGAAGGTATTCGTTGAACATCACATTTCTTGCCAAATTTCAGGCTGTTTAATGATATTTGAACTTTAGCAAACATCATAATAATAATGATGATGATGATGATGATGATGATGAAAGAAAAAAAAAAAAAAAATTCTTCAGATGACTGCAGCGTTTTTGCAGAGTATAGACGTTTATACAAAATTTAACATACATGAAACAAAGAATAATTTTAAGTGGAGATATGGCAATGAGAGAGAGAGAGAGAGAGAGAGAGAGAGAGAGAGAGAGAGCAACTCTAGATCGAAAATCATTCATATATAAATCTGGCTGTTGCATATATGCACATATCATTGACCACAAATGTAACTCCAGTTGCTTTAGGAACCCATTACATACATCTCTCATTATAACACACGAACGGATCAAGCTGACTGCAGCTTAAGTTTACAACATCACCAAGAAGACTTTCAATAGTTACAGTTAAATTTTCTATATAGACGAGGTGATCAGGAGACAACTGCTCTGTATGAGGATTTAAGCATCAAAGCAGAAAATTCCACGGTTATACCCATTGGCAGATTAGAATAACTGAAAAAATAGACTAGTAGATCCATCACCAAATGATCTGAGATCCACAGGTTTCACCAAAGCCCGGCATAAAGGACATGTACGTTCTCTCTCAAACCTGGAAGCAGAAGATAGTCAGCTACTCAAAGCGGAAAGGAATAGTAAGGGCCTATTTGGAATAACTTCTGCTTTTTCGTAGAACTCCATCCTGAAGAAGCCATTTTGGGTAAGCTTCCTCTAAAAGTTCTTTTAATTATTCATACAGACCCAAAAGCAGCTTCTTATTCTCAAAATCCACTTTTGGATATTCAAGAGCCATGCCAAATAGGCTCTAACACTTGTGGGAGGACTAAAGGACAGGATTAATTTCTTTACCTTTTTTTTTTTTTTCTTTCAGATCAGAAACTGAAAAAATACCAAAAAGGATGTTCATATTGGATATTTCAGCCGAGGATACAACCCAAAATCCTAAAAATGAAAAATAAGCAATCCATGCAGCTAAACCAACTAAATTTTCCCTTAAACCTTGCATTAGGAATGCAACATTAAGGGTGGTAGCATCAAGATGGATATTCTCTGTTTAATGGCGAAACATCATACTAGAGAAGCATGATGGAAGTGTTTGAAATTAAATAAGTTATAATAATATTTTAAGCCGAGCTTAAAAGGTAAAGTTACTTTCAAGTAAACATCCACAAATATGTTTGGATAACTTACTTTCTATAATAAAAAAAAAGGTTACTTTTTAAATAAAGCTACTTTTTAAGTGAATATTTTGCCTACAAACATGCCTGAATAACTCACTTTTCTTTAATTTAAGTAAAAAAATTAGTGTTTTTTTCTAAAGTGAGCTTAAAAATGTAAAGTTACTTTTAAACAACTTTTTTGTCTACCAATATGTTTGGACAACAACTTGCATTTCTCCTACGTTTAAGTAAAAAAGTTGTTTTTTTTTTTAAAGCAAGTTTAAGCCTCGCAAATGGCATTTAGGGCATAAGCTTTGAGGCATTCAATGAAAGTTGCACATGAGAGAGGACTTCTGGCATAAGCCTCCAAAAAGTTTTTATAGAAAATAGCAAGGCATACAATCTCCATTTGATGATCTAATGGGACCAGTAATAGGTTTCACACACACAGCAGCATGGGCGAGACTAGAAAATTAGGTCTTGATAAGGAGAGCCAAAAAAAAAAACACTTGATGTTTCAATTCCTAATATCTGTTGACTAAGCACATCATACTTCTAATGACTTTTTGGGTTCAGGATTTTCATAAATTCTCCTAGTTGTTTCCCCTGCATAAATTTAAGCTTCAAAGAAAAAAAATTAAAAGCTTTCAAGTCTTGAATAATCAAATTACGGATAATATTCAATATGGGTGTCAGATTTATCCACTTCTCCAATTCCTCATCCTAAACCTTCAGCCAAATATTACTCAAACGATTTAATCTTTCAACAAGTACAACATGAAGGGCCTCCAAGTCTACAGCAACCAGTAAGTAATACATCCTATCCTCACCTATCTTCTCAGTCTCGCCTGATAAGCATTTAAGAATTATATATATTCCCTTGGTAAGATGTTGAGCTGTCAATAGTTAATGCCAAATTTTAGAAATAAGGCAGTACACGAACAAATTAACCACCCATTCTGTTGCTTAGACTTCATAGTGTTATCATGGCAGGAAATAGAAATTCTAAACAAATTTAGAGTCAGAAATCAAAGAGTTAAAAAACTAACCACTCAGACACACAATCCTCACAAAATATGTGTTTACAGCGTAATAAGATTGGAACAATCATTTTTTCCTGACAAATGGCACAAAGATCCCCTGCTGCATTAACCTGCATTAGATTACACAAATATATTGAATAATTTGCCTTTACAATTGAAAACACTAATTGAGGCATAAATCATCAAAGCAACAAATGAACATGGCACAAAAATGAGCACGTGACATGGAGCCTCTTGCAAGAAAATTGACCAATATACAGCAATAAGACAATGCTGCAGGTGCAACAATACGATGAAACCGCAGAGACTTCTGAGACCTCATTGGCAAAATAAGTAGTGCAAGACGTTAAAATAACATATGTCTGAAACACACATAAATCAACCATATTGACCAAACAAGGAGGCATCTCCTTCAATTAACAATCTTGAAAGCTAGGAAATATCTGCTTTTGGTAATGAAAGTAGTGGCGAAAATATTTAACACTCCAAGGGATAACAGGTATTGCATATATCATTATCTGGGCTAGAAATTAAACAAGATATTTTGCTCTAAACCATCTTAAACAACTCAAAAGACAAAAAATTAGCACATCACAACACTGGGCAGAGTTAGGGAACCTGTTCAGATGTTGCATAAGCTCCATAATGGATATCTTTACAGGATACTGCTTTCAAGGCAGTAAATAAAGACCGAATCTGAAAATACAAATCAGAGATATGCAAAAATTAAAGGTCTGATACTTGCATAAAATATTACGATAAAAAACTCCAAATATATGAACAAAACAATTTGATATGTAACTATATATAAAAATAAAAGATTGCAAAGCAGAACCGTGAACAGAAGACAGCTCTAACAAAGTTATTACCTTCTCAACAATAGATGTGAGTTTGAAAGTCAAGTATAACCCAGTCATCAGTGATGAGAAAAGGCCTCCATATTCTTTATTAAGAAAGAAACGATACCATACAGGAGCCGGCAGCAAAGCACGGTAAAGTAGCATTAGGTACTCAACCAAAGTCAGCATCTGACCCTGTTAATTACATATCTCTTCATCAGATGGCAATCTCAAAGAACATTAAATGGCATAATTTACCAACATCTTTAGCACAATTATTAGTGGGACAGAAACATACCTGCCTACGATAGTTTCGGCCTCTGCTGTTCTTGTAATACACCAACAGAGAGCACTTGAAGATCATTGCAGCCTGACGGACCAGTGTATCTGGGGAAAGAATCAGATTCAGGAAATTAGTTGAAACTGCAGGCAAATGACTGTATGCAAACGAAGAAAAATTACAATAACCAAATCACATGAACACACCATTCACCATGATAATGAATATAGCATGCCAGAAAGGTGGTATAGCCTTTGGAGGGAGCATCACCAATAGATATAGAAGACCATCGCTCCAGTACCACCAGTAAACCCCAACCACATGAAGCGCGAAGAAGATAACAATGCCAATGAGAACAGACACTTTTCTCTCACCCTGCAGAGATAAAAAACACTTAATTGCTAACGCTAAATTTAATGACAGTACAGACCAAAAGGCGGGCTTCAGATTTCTGGTTCAGCAAATCACTCCTAAAAGAGAATGCAAATATATAGGGGTATCCAATGGCACCTTAAGTGATGTCTGTTTCCGTAAAAAGTCGTTTGACTTGAACATAACAGCAGCAATCCAAATGGTAACAATGAAACCTGCAAATATAGCTATAAATTAAATCTAAAAGATAACAAAATATAACAGATTCTTTATCAAGTCCATCATCAACCTCAAACATTGAAAATGCAAACCAACATCCCCAAGAAAATTTACAAAGTAGAGAGCAAAGTGCCACCTAAAAATCTAAGGAAAGCAAAATAGCATTTTCAGTGGTCGTTTTGGTGGTTTGGAAGCCATGCAGAACAGAAAATCTAGGTTATACATTATAATGAGAGTAAAAACAACAAGACATGAAGAACAAGGGGAGCATCCTCCTCAAAATACAAAATGAAAACATCTGATCTGAGTTCCCTCGTGCTTGAAGACAACAAATCGGATGCTGCAGTCATTGACTTTGTTTGGATAAATGCCAAAAGGAAACAAGAAGGAAAAATAAAAGAAGAAAATTTGTGATAAATAAAAATCTCTAGCTATCTCCATTGTTGTACGACATGCCAGCTGCTTGTAACCTTTAGAGATGTAGATGAGATTAAAATAATGTTAAGGACATGCCTCTCCATACGTGCACAAGTGTCATCCCTTATTGATCTTGGATATAGAAGATGAAATGGATTTTCATAATCATGTGACTAAGATTTTTCAGCAGCCATTTAATTCCTATATAGCGAACTCTACATGATTATCATTCACTCCAAATTACAAATATGCGTGAAATTGTAGCCTGTCACAAAACCTAAACAATACAGTAGATGCCCCTACACAAACTACATTCAATATGATAGTATATAGCTTTAATGTTCTCTGACTTCCACGCGGTATATTAGTCAGGATCAGGAGAGTAATCATAGCAATAAAATAATCATAGTAATAAAATATCATTGAAGAATCCACATGACATTATACAATACATAAACTGGGGTGTACATGGACATGACAGCAGAATATATTAGACATCTAGGAGATTGACTACTTAAAGCGAAAATGAAAGGATCTGACAGCTTCAATATGACGTGAGCAAAAGAGCACCATTTTTTACAACATGAAAAAGCACAAATAAATGAATTCAAGAAAAATATCTCCATTTAAAGGGGGAAAATGAGTGGCGCTATTACTAAAAGAAGAAAAGAAAAAGAACCTTGCAAGTGCTGACGAATGAAAACTACCAACAGAAGCAATGTGAAAGGAAGGACCTGCTCGATCCACCGAGCAGCCTGCTGTATGTCATATCTCTGGTGAGAAGAAGAATCCCTTCTATTACCCCCAGCTCCCTCAGCAGCCTCTGGATCACCACCTGCCTCACTTTCATTCCTCAAATTCACTTGACTCTCCAAGTCCGATGCTGCAGAACCTGACCTTAAAATCTGCCGCACAAAGGCTTCATTTTGCTCACTCGGCTGACCAACTGTCAGAGGCGAAGGCAACACATTCCCCACCCTATCATGCTCATGTTCACCAGCTCCAATTATTCTTATGGAAACTTCCCCTTCACCACTACCAACATTAGCTGCTGGGGTCACTGCAGAGTCTTCCAGACGCAAGTGCACATGATCTCGATAACCAACAGAGGCCCCAGCGTTTAATAAAGCGTCGGATTCTGGTTGAGTGGACCTGGTCCTTATAATACCAGTGTATTCCAACAACGTGGACAATGGGGATCGTAGAATACTATGGGCAGTTAAACTCATTCCCCGTCTTCTAGAATGAGGAGAGCTAGTCGTAGAAGAAACACCCCTGTGAGCGTCCAAATTTCCGCCGGACGCTTCCATTTGAGTCGTTGCCCTAACCCTAACCCTAACCCTAATCAAGAAACACATACCGAAGGATCAAATTCAATGCAATCGGATTAAACAACGCCTAATCAACAGAATTTATACAAATAGACGGGTAAAGACGGAAGAAAAATAAGAATGATAAAATAATGAAAATATATCACCAAGACGAAGGAATCGTGAAAGAAGGAAATTATACCTTAGAGATCGAAACTCCGTGGATAATCCTTACGAATAAAAGAAAGAAAGATGGATAATTCATTGAGACAGAAAACCCTAAAATGATGTAGAACAAAATGGGTGATGGGAAAGGAGGAAAAGCATAATCCAATAATCAGAGAAAGTGGGTGTTAGAATGAGGTGATGACACCAGTATTATCGTTTCACCGCAGCAGAGGAGGACAGCTTTGTGCGTTCCTCTCTCTTTTCCTCCTCCGTTGGCTCTAGCTTGGCATTTGGAAGAGCGCGAGGAGAAAAGGAGAGAAAGCAATGGAATAAAGAAAAAAAGCCTAATACACAGGCTCTGCTAGGGTGAATACGGTTCGGTTCGGTTCGGTTCGGTTCTCTTTAGAATCGAATTAAATCAAAATTTTCGGATATTTAATAAATGGAACTATCGGATCCAAATATAATTATGAAATCGTTCGGGTTCGAGTTCGGTTCCGTTCCGTTCGATTCTGTACTATAATTAAATTTTTTAATATTTATAACAACATTATATAAATACAAATAATGACACATTCAATTGTTTTGAAATGTTAGAGACTCGTAGACTACCTTATTCAAATGATCGTTACGGTCAAAATTTCAGCTAGAGGAGGTCACAGTTTCGATCGGAGGTCACAGCGTCGGTCGACAATTGTATAGGTTTTGGAATATCAGCGAGGCTGTGAGAGTCGAGATAGCGTTATGTACTTTAGTGTAGGTGTTTAGGATTATTTAGTGGGTTGGATCTTGTTGGGTTAAGAAATGAGACAATAAAAGGAGTAATTGGGTCAAAAATTAAAAAATTAGAAATGAAACAAATTATTGGGCTAAAAATTTAGATTTAGAAATTGTTAATTTGTTGATTTGTTTAGAAAAAATTAAAATTAAAATAATTTGATTTATTCAATATAAAAAAATAAATTAGAAAGATTCGGTTTTTATTCGATTTTTCGATTATTAGTCTAGAACCGAGAATCGAACCGTACCCGTCGGTGCTCAATACAGATACCTGTTCGGATATTTAATTTGACAAAAACCGTCGGGTTCGGTTCGGTTCGAAAAATTTACCCAGCCCTAGGCTCTGCATTCACAGGGCATGTCCCTCACATGCTGTGTGAGGGGTGCGGGGTGGGAGATTATTTAAAAAAAAAAAATTACCCACCCCCCTTATATTCAGTCTGACCTGTACAGGCACAATGAACACGAGGAATGTACAGCCAGCATACAGGGCCTGTACAGCCAGCAAAGTCCTGGAATAAAATAATTTTACAAATTAAGGCCCGATCCTATTATTTTTTCATTAAAATGAAAATTATGATCGTTATTCATTACGTCAAGTCACCGTATTTGATTTTTTATTTCTTGCATAGAATCCATAACTGCTATATTTTTCATTTTCATTTTTACAAAAATGTGGCTCAAACGAGGTCTAAATCATGTATAAAATATTATTCTTTAAAGTTGTATTCTATCAAGTTATTATTTTTATAGTACTCATTTTCAATCATACATTTTTTATTAAAATAATATTACACGTAAATCAAAAAAAATTCTTACCTTTTAACCACAATTTTAATATCAACCACTACTCCATAATACATTATTCACAAATAATGGGCACACAAACACCCCCCCTAATATGTAACGATCACACGATACGTACAAGAACGTTTTTCACATGTACTTTACAGGGGGTGACGTGGCATGGAAAAAAAGTGAAAAACTAAACTAAACTAAATTCCCAATTGAAATGAGTAATACTTAGGTAGTGGTGGTGCAATCGCTCAATGTCGAGGCGCCTCAACGGGTGGCCCACACACATTGGTGTTGTGTGGTGGGCCACCCGTCAAGGTGACACTTCTTTATAGGATGGTTGTACCACGTGAATGATGCGACCTTTCTACCAAAGTATTTCTCAATTGAAATCTTATCTTGTGCATCCCTTTTCACCTATTCGGTTCAAACCTTGGACACACTCCAAAGCCATCGCCTCCATTCATAACAGCGAGACAAAATCGTCGGACTAATCTCCACCTCTGATCGGCTTAAAACAAGTGAAGAAGGTACCTTAGAAGCATTACCCAAAAATGCCTGCCGAGATTTAAAGGAAGTGAGCCCCGTTGTTCACCTCCCTCGCAGCGAAAGCACCACCACAATTCTCCACCTTCGTCCAACGCCAAACCACCATTGAAGAACACAACTCTGTCAAGTTTATAAAGGTAATTGGGGAGTTAATTATGATATAAAAAATCAGACCTAGATGTATATAACATAATTATTGATGTGCCATTGAAATCTGTGTGAATGGTAATTTATTTTGGAGGTCGAGTTGATGAATAAGCGACCTTTTAGTCAAGGATTTGCTTGTTTGAGATTCAAGCAGTAAGCCTGAAAAAGTGGTGGAGTTGGTGAGATTAATAGAAGAATATATGCATCTTATTGCTCCGTTCGTTACTGCATCAACGTGTTTAAGAGGAACTGTGGTAATGGTTCTAATTCTCTAGGAGGATATGCTTAATGCCTGTTGTAGATGTTGTGATTTTAAGTTTTGAAAACTTTAGCATTGAACATGAATTATTCTCGATCTTCTTAGTTCGTGTAGTATTGACCTTTGTTTTATGTGGTTGTTTGCATCTTAGATTAAGAGGCATGAATGTTTTATGTGGTCGTACCAGGAGAATCAAGTGGTGAATCCTAGTACCAAGGGGGACGTTGAAGATTTATCAATCATGTTTGAAACGCTAACTCGAATAAGTGAGAAAGGAGACGTCGAGATTTTATTAAATGTGACATTCTGCAAGGGAAAATGGAGGGAGGAAGGGAATTTGAAAGGACGGGGGCTGGCTTGATTAGTTGTGAGGAGGGGAATTCTGATATTATTGTAATTTTTATTTGATATTGAAAAGTAGGTGTAAACTTTGTTCATTTTATTATGTTTGGAATCAGTATATATCTCATTCTTGCCCTGGAGTTGAGCTTTATATTTTATGTTGAGGGTGAATGCTTGAAATATTGAATAATAGTGATGGAGTTTAATGAAATGAAGTTAATGTAATTTGAGTTGCCGTGATGTTTAACATTTCCCATTAACCATCCACATAAGCTGTCCAAGTTGATGTCTTAGACTTTACAAAATAAAATTGAAAGAGACCTACAATAAGTAATTTCATTGAAGCCATTACACAGAATTACAATAATCCCTTGTAATATCACACTTTTGCATCTTACACAATCACAAACAAATATAACCAGTTTTCCAAAATTCTGCACTTTCACAGGATACGAACAAATGGAAAACTGATTCCAAATCAGAATCCAACAAAACCAAGTGACAGAATAATGCATAGCTTCACAAATCTTCCAAGATCAGCATTCATAAAACAAAGTGATATCTCTTCTATACCAATATTCTTGCTTGATGTTGCAAAACAAAAAAGTACACATATGAGGATTTTCTCGGGTTTATTCTGCAAAAAACACATTAGTGGATTGACTATGGCCACAGTTAAATTGCATAGTTGAAAAGGCACAACACTAATCCCTGCAAATACAGATCTTCCAAAGCAGCATATATTGGAAATAAAAAATGTAAAACACAAACCTTGCGAAGAAGCAGGTATTGGAAATTTAAAATTGCACAACACTAAAGAAAAATGAGAAGAGTGTGGCTCACATTGGCAAATACTGGAGGTGGAGAACATGGCCGAGTTCCGTATGATTTTTGTTGGCAAAAATGCACAGTGTGGCTTAGATGAGAAAACATTGGAGGTGTAAGCTATATGGCTGGGCAGCCGCGATTTTTTAGCCGGAATAAACTGTCAGGATTGAGTTTTTAGGGCTCAGGAACTCGAGGGAAGAGAGCTTTCATGCCTCTCTAACACTAGCAGTTGAAGCTATACGGTCAGGCTACGCGTGATAAATAAGACAAAAACTCATTTTTTTGTGATTTTCGTCGAAAGATGCTGGAGTTGTTCTCATACAAAATGGGATCTCCGATTTGGGGGAGTTATGCACGAGTTGGAACAAATGGTTCTTTTTCCCTCTCACTTTTATATTTTTCTTTTGTTCTTTTTTGGTTGATTAATGAATTGCCACGTCACCAAATTCAAAATCCTGTGAAGGCCCTGTGAAACCCACCATGTACTTGTAGTTTTATTCAATATGTAAACTCTCATTTGTATTTAAATTTAATGAAGTCATTTAAATAATGTTTCATCGTATTGTATTTTTCTTAGAAAATGGTAATTTTTACAAGGCAAAAGAAAAAGAAAAAGAAAAAAAAAAGTAGATGAATGAATTTATCAATCATGTTATAGATAATCGAATTTAAGTTCTGTTGGGCAAATGGAGTTTTGATGGTGATTTTTTTTTTTTTTTTGAAAAATGTGTGGTTAAAAAGTTAAAAAAAAAAAAAAGTAGATGAATGAATTTATCAATCATGTTATAGATAATCGAATTTAAGTTCTGTTGGGCAAATGGAGTTTTGATAGTGATTTTTTTTTTTTTTTTGAAAAATGTGTGGTTAAAAAGTTAAAAAAAAAAAAAAGTTTTGAATTTATGTATAAAATATTTTATTAGGTGAATGCATGGTTTAACAGTTTTGAAATAATGGTTGTCAAATAGAAGCTAAATTTAATTTCACATAAACTACATGCCAAAATTAAGCCATTGTTCAGGCTCCATTTTAAGGAGATTTTGGAAAATAATTTATTTTGAAATAGTAAATTATTTTGGAATACTGAAGGTGGAGAATATGGCCAAGTTCCGTATGATTTTTGTTGGCAAAAATGCACAGCGTGGCTCAGATGAGAAAACATTGGAGGTGTAAGCTATATGGCCGGACAGTCACGATTTTTTAGCTGAAATAAACTGTCAGGATGGAGTTTTTAGGGCTCAGGAACTCGAGGGAAGAGAGCTTTCATGCCTCTCCAACATTGGAAGTTGAAGCTATACGGTCAGGCTACGCGTGATAAATAAGACAAAAACACATTTTTTGCCATTTTCGTCGAAAGATGTCGGAGTTTTTCTGGTACAAAATGGGATCTCCGATTTGGGGAGTTATGCACGAGTTGGAACAAATGGTTCTTTTTCCCTCTCTCTTTTCCCTCACTTTTCTATTTCTTTTTTGTTCTTTTTTTTTTTTTGGTTGATTAACGAATTGCCACGTCACCAAATTCAAAATCCTGTAAAGGCCTTGTGAAACCCACCATGTACTTGTAGTTTTATTCAATATGTAAACTCTTATTCGTATTTAAATTTAATGACGTCATTGAAATAATGTTTCATCGTATTGTATTTTTC